GCAATGACAAACAGTCAGTTATTGGCCCGCGTGTCTTCGAAGCTTTGAACAAATCAGCCGGTCGGACGGCGCACATCCGACTGTTGGCTGTGACCCAGTCGATCACAGTGTCTTCACCCCAGTGAGAAAATAACGCCAGTGTCGCATTATAGGGATCGCGTGGTAAGCACTTAGCTCGTATCTTGCAGGCGCGTTTCCGGTAAACAGCAGATATCGAATGATAGGACAACTGCTGTTGTTGGCCAATCTGCAACAAAGTGCGCACATTGAGACATGCCAATCTGAAGGAAGATTGAGCGCTCCAACTATGAACTGTTCAGCTGATGTGGCCCGATTGCTTGATCATGGACTTTACCACTGTACCAGAGTGATGCACTGTGATTGCGTTGTAGTCGAAACTAGAAAACAAAATCTATTGAAGCAAGATTAAAGAATGTCAAGAATTATGGGTTTGGATACAGGGTGATCAAAGTGTTGGAAGAAAATGATAAGGATGAAAAGACGCAAAAGAGGAGTAAAAAGACGGATAGATCTGGGCAGTAGAATCTAAACCTCTACCCACCCTGCTCGATGCAACACACAGGGCGCCGTTGATTATCTTCTGCGAAGGTCAGAGTATCAGGAAATCACTAGTTGTGTGACGACCGTACTGTTAGTCCTTGACTAGAAGGGGACTGTGGCTGTCCACCGAATCTTCGTTTACCGATGCATCAAGCTAACAGTGATGGGCATAGGGCTTGATTTATTTTTGTTTGAGAACGCGTCGGTAACTCATCTCTCTTTATGGCTTTTCGTTATTTTTCGACACATTATTAAAACGCATTTCATGAACGTACCTTCGACTCAGTCGATCGATGTGCCCTTTGGGACTGTCTGTTGAGGAAAAGTGTGCCTGATAAATATGTAAATGTTATCAAAGTGCTGTACGCGCATAGTTCGGGCAGGGTGAGGGTTTATGGCAAACTGTCGCCACCTAAGGATGGTGAACACGTTTGGTTGGACACACTCGCTGATATGGCTTGGAGCCGGCCCCAGTGGCGTTTGTGTTGTGAGTTCCTTTGTCCATCCCCCTCCTGCTTAGCATCCCCCTCCAATCATAATCTCACCTGATAGGTATAATATGACTCTTTTACGGCAGCCAGCTGTTAGCTCTCCGGAATGATGTCCATCCGTTACTGGGGACTCAGCGGGCGTGCCACCGTTTATTTTCCTTTTCTTATCTTTTGTATTGCGGCACAATAGCTGAGGTGTTTTCCACCTCCAGCTAACGTGTAATGATGATGATGATGATGTCCTTAATGCGCATATCGCCATCACTTCCCCACTTTATGGTGGTTTGCTTTTTATTAGTTGTTGTTTGCTGTTCTGCCATGCCAGCTCATCCTTTTTTGAACAAATGGACAAGTAAACAACACTTGTTCTCTGCTCCTGACCTTGACGAACTCCGCTGACTGTTTCATGCTTGTTTTTGCACTCTTCAGGCCGGGGAACTCGGAGCGTAGAGGTTTCCACTGGGGACATTTTGCTCATTTAACCATGAGCAATGATTCTCACGGAGGTGGGCTTCACCAGGGTTGTCCGATGTCCCCTTTCCTTGTGATCGAAATGATCGTGACTGACTCGGTTCTTCTAGACTTTACCGAAGTGGAAATTCTACCAGGTAACCGATTAACAAAGTTGTAGTAGGCAGGTGATATAGCTCTCTTAGGGTCTAACGCATTTGGTCATGCAAACGCTTCCGCACAGACTGACGCATAGCACTGCACGCTTCGGCATGTACTTTGTACCTTCAACGTGTGAAGTACTCAGAGTACTCGACTGATAAATCTCCGGTTTTAGCTATCACCAAACAGCCACTGGAAGAGGTGGATCGGTCCACTTAGCTTGGTAGCTGTGTCACCTCTGGTGGTCGTCACATCATTGAGGTAGTTGCTTCGCGTATCAGCAAGGCCCACGTGGCTTTCCAGAGGCTCAACCATCTATAGGGACAGCGGGATATTAGCTTGTCAGTGAAAGTTAGAGTGTATAACGCTGCGATAAGACCGGTGTTACTGTTGGGACCAGAGACCTGACCAGTTCGCGGTGAATACATTAGACGCTTGGCTGTGTTTGACCACCGGTACTTGCGGAGTATTGCTCACGTTTGGTGGGAACACAGGGTGAGCGGTGCTGAGATCCGCTTGTTGGTTTTGGCAAGCAGCCTCCTCGTGCCTCACTCGAGTGTTTGCTAAAACCTAATCGCTTGCATTGGCTGGGCCATGTCCTCCGTATGCCCGTTGATCGATTCCCTCGACGTGCTGCAGGAAATTGGGCGAAAATTCAAAATGGCAGTCCATGACGGAGCATATAGGATTGAAGAAATTAACTGAGAGACTTGGTCAGACTAGTGCGTACTGCCTTCCTCCTTGGTCGACACTAGTAATTGGAGACATGACGCTGTCACGCAGTCAATGGCATTAATGCATTCGACTTCTTTCATCTAGTTGTTAATCCTCGTTCCATTTTGACTAGTCTAATGCATCTCCTTCCTGCTTTCCTTTTCTCTTCATTCTATTTGCATTTTAACTCCACTGTTTTGCCGCTACTACCTCTTCCTATTTTCGCGATGTGAGTCGTGGCAACTGGATCCACCGCGCTTCGGTGCTCGGATCATAGTTGTTCAACTGAACTGAATGATTGTCACAATGATTAGGAAAACTCATTGCTCATTTCGTTTTAAACTACGTATTATCTATTAATGTATTGCGACACGCAACATCCGTATGAACTGGAGGGTTTCGTTGTGGCTCTCTCCCATCCCAGCACTCCACGACCGACGGTTTCGTCTTTGTTTAGACCCATCAGGTAGAGATAGCCGATCTGGGAGTGGAACTCGACGCATAGCGCTTGGCGGCTATCGCTATGATCACTAGGCCATGGAGATCTGCGAGCAGCGTTTGACACAGCGGTTAGAAGTTGATTTTCGGGTTCTGGAGCACCCGCTGTGTGTTTTGGATTGCGACACGCAATCTCAGTTGGGGTCTCGGTTGACTTTGAAGTCAGCCTCTGCCAACACGGTCACCGGGATCGTCACCGATTGGAGGGTTTCGATGTGGCTCTTTCCCATCCACTGTCGCTAGACAATCTGTGGTTGCCCTTGTGCGTAGGTTAAGACATTTGAGTTGCTGTCCTTTCACCAATCACCTCAGATATACGCTAGCTATTAAGTTTTTCGTCGCCACCTTCTGCGGTGCTTTTCTAATCTTCCTTCACTGTGCACAGAGCACTCGCTCTCTGAGATAGTGATGAGGCGATTCCCGCATAAACATACTGCGGGTGACCTGAACTGCAGCTAAGTACCCCGTCTGTTTCCATTGGTTTGCGATGCGTTGTCACTATTAGCGTTCCTTCGTTTGTGTGGATCAAACAAACAAGGAACGGGAGTGTGCCGCTTTGCAACTTAATTTCTATAGTGAACTTTGTCGCATCGTCAATGGAGTTCAAATACTTTAACATTTCACCTTGCTATACTTTCTTTAATCGCTATATATTGTTCAGGCCACCCGAAGCATGTTTATGCGAGAATCGCCTCGTCACTATTTCACAGAGCGAGTGCTCTATGCATGGTGGAAGAAGATAAAAAAAGCAGCGCAGAAGCTGGCGATGAAAGTTTAATAGCTAGCGGATATGTGAGGTGATTGGTGAAAGGACAGCTATTCAAATTTTTTAACCTACGCACAAGGCCAACCACAGATTGTCTAGCTACAGTGGACACTCCGTATAAAGAAGGAACTTCGGGAGCGATCCGAAGAGTACTGAATACAGCGAATACAGAGGGTAGTTTTCCAAAAGGGTAAAACGCTGCGGTCGATGCTTGTGCATTTGAAGGACTCCCTCCCCTTAGATAGAACAAGTAACTGCATTTACAAAATCCTATGTAAAGATTATGCGCAAGTGTATAGGCCAAACAGTGAGGGAACAACGCACAAGGATCTCAGAACATAACCAGCACGTATCACGACGTCCGAGGAACGAGCTCGAGTATGAAGCTCTGCTCAGAAACTCGGTGGTAACAATGCATGCGCTAAACACTGAGCAAAAATTGACTTCGAAAATGTCGAGGTTATCAGGGAGGGATTGTGATCAGTGTAACTGAGGTTATAGAAATAACCAAGACCAACAACTGCGTGAGTAGAATAGACGGAGTAGAGCTGTCTAGTGCCTGGCTTCCAGTCTTACTCTGGCCAGGTTGATGAGCATTGGCGGATGGATCCAAAGTCAGAATGGACAATCAGCAACAATCACTAAGCGTTGAAGACAAATTCCATCAGTGACCAAGTGCATTCCAACGGACCAATTCAGATTGCTACCATGTCTGTGACTACCATCTGACTAGCATATTTTCTTCCCATTTGACTTCACCTGAGACCTACGGATTACACGCACACCTAGTGACCTTTGGCGGCTGTGACGTTCTCGCCAATGACTTGCAAGTTTATCAACCTCTGTATGTAGCCTGCATGTGAGTGTTTTTAAAGTGCCACCCACTTTTTAGCTAATTCACTTCGCCTGATGAATCTTTTGAGTCCAAAGTGAAACGTTGTACAGCATATCAAATACACTAACCAGTCGTTTGCCAAAACTTTTTTAACGAAAGGCGAGTGCTGTACTGTCACACTTGCCCCTGACCTTTTTCCGTCTTTTTTGTGGTGGAACCATATCTTGATGTGTGTTGCAATACATACCACCATTGTCCCACGTTCTTGATCTGTTTGACAGCGACTTTTGGACTCTTTGTCTGCAACTTTTTCTACTTAGCTAATGGTCGACGTGTTTCCTCATGTGAACACTGTATGCGGTTTCGTTGTTTACCTCTATCTCGCATAGTTCAACCTCGTCCAACTGATCCTCGCTTTCTGGTTCCACTAGCTTTACTCGTTATGAATCTTCTCCCATCCAAAGTGCTCGTACAGAGCCCTGTTTTAGTGTCATCTTTTATGCTCTCGCTTATTCCTCTCCAGGGTTTAGTTGAACACGTCACCGTTCTCATTGGAATCGCCGTCAGTGGTAGGCCGGTCGCGGGCGTGATTGCACAACCCTTTTACTCCACTGGAGAGGCTCACCCACCCATTCCTTCTGAAACAAAATCTAGAGTGTTCTGGTCTTTGGATGGACTCGGAGTGTTCGGGATCACACCAAACCTTCCTCCTGGTCCCACTCCATTTCCCATGAATACGCATTTGCAACAAGGAGATGTCCCGAATATACTTGTCGTCACTCGATCTCATCCGACTCCCAATTTGCAGGCTGCTATCGAAGCATGTGCACCAACAAAGGTGAGTTGTGTGTTTCCTTAACCATCATCTTGTAATGCTGGGTAATATTGTCTGTCTGACATCTATATTCATTTTCGCTATTCCTATGGTCCCTCTTTGTCATTCTACCAGATGATCGAAAGTGTTCACATATGTGAAGTTGGCTGTTTGCCTCCACACTCCTCGTGCGTACTATTTACTTGTAGTTATTTAGCTGTGACAGTACTGTCTGTCTACCGCATGCGATTCCAACTATTGCAATCAGGCTCTTCACAAAATTTCGATCCAACTGGAAAATTACAATTCAAAAACTAGATAAACATGTTCACCGGAACCAACTGCTAAAGCACGATCCATCCAGCTCGAATTCTCTTCACAATTTTTTGATCCGGTAGCGAACAGTTTGTGGTCAACTCAGAGTTCACTCATTTAGAGTGTCGCTCACTTATAATTTTGCAAGCATTTTCTAGTAGTTCGATCTTTCGTTAAGTGATCTCACCTAGAATGGAAAAGTGGTTTCCACCGGAAAAACCATCGGTCCGCCCTAATCGTCTCCTCATTGTTCGAGCAGAGACGGAAGTGAAAAATGCCACTATCATCCGGATGAAATTCGAGTACACAACGGTGATTCTGAGTCTCGTTTCACTTGCATGGTTCGTCCTGTATCTTATGGCCAGAATTAGGACTGTGTGTACCCTTTCCATTTCAAGTTAACTTTAATCTCGCGATACTCGAATATCAGCACTAATTCGTGTCCTGGAAAAATACCTAGGACCAGTTTCCTTGTATTCACCGCAATGCTACGTTCCTTTCCGTTGTTTCCACGTAATGCCTATGTTTGCACAGCCAGCGCTTGGTTCGCTAAACGCATGCGGTTGACTGACGTGCGCTAATCATTGTGATGGTCTACCTATGACTCGAATGAGGTAGGGACAGGGATTCCTCTGACTGCTTCCCTGTATTGAGCGTTCACTTACTTACCTATTCAACGCTGTTTGCACCAGGCTGCCGAGTGTGATGAGGCTAAGCAATGGAATGATGCAGCGAGGCTTCATTGGAGCTATTTTGTTCATGCTTGACTCTGGCCTCATGGAACTAAGCCCGGAGCGGTGGATTTATATGCAACTAGGAAGTCGATGCAATGATGTCAATCTCGCAATAACTGTGCCTACCATTTTCCCCACTCTTCTCAATCACGTTCATTTGGAAGCAGAAAACGGATACCACCAATGCGCCACTACGGTTCTTAACTTATCACGCAATCGTAAGTTCTCAACGAATGGGGATACTTCAGGAGCCGCTACACATGCGGTAACTAAACTCGAACTCAAGTGCTGGATGTTGAAAACCGAACACCTGCGTCACTACACCACTTCTTAGGACGTAAGACCAGCATAGGCTTGGATAACGAGTGCGGCGTTTCCACATTCAGTTGTTGCACAACCGCATCGTCTCTCTCCTGATTCTGGAACATTCACTTACTCGGAATTGAAGAGGGAATTGTCATCACGGATGTGAAGGTCCCGAGACCATGTAACATACTGTTGCTTTGCATCTTCGCAAGAATACTGAATACTAAAAATAGAGAACGAGAAGATAAAAATCTGTGGTGCTCCATCGTAGTTGGATCGGGCACATGCACGGAATCACATCGCTGATTCCTTCGTGATGGCAACGTATTGCAGCTGCACTACATCTTATTCGTGTGCGATACGCTCCCTATACCTGTAGTCCGCAAACTGGGTGTCAAGGAATCGCTTAAATTCCGACACCGATTTCACCTCGACCATTAGCTCTGGCAACTTGTTCTTATATTTTACCACTGGGCCCTCGAAACATAGAGGGTGAGCGATACGCTTCGAATCCGGTACCACCAGTTTGTACTGGTGTCCACGTGTGCTGCTTGGTGTGCGAACGTGCAGCTGCGGCTTAAATGCAATATACGGTGCGTCATTATGAGACCAACTCCTAGGCGACGATATGGCAGGGTATACAACCCTAGTCTCCTACATCGGTCCTCGTGCGATATATCCCGTAAACTGTGGATGAGTCGGGTAGCTACATGCTTTACCCGTTGCAGTCTGTGCACCTCACCTCTTGTGATCGGACATTAAGCGAGTGAGCCGTAGCTAAGCACCGGTTTTATCATGGAAGAGAAAAGACGTGGCAATCTCTTCAGACCAAGTGCAAAAGCTGCGTCTAAATGCTCAAAGCAAGCGTAGTCGATTTACGTACAGTCTGTTCGTGTACGTACAAAAAGCCATGTTTAGGCTTCCCACGAATTTGAGGAACGCCTCTTACAAACGCCATCGTAATTATGCTGCACAGTTGCTAAATTCTCCAATATAAACTCTCTGTCTCTCACTCTGAAACCTTTCTCAACCCGTGCTATAGAACCCTGCAAATCTTATTGTTTTAACTAATATATATATATATATATATATATGTGGTGATGTGGAATGCATAGCCACCGTGGGCGACCTGTGGCACCACATTCGCGACCAGGTGACAGCTGCTGCCGAGGAGACCATCGGGCGCGCAAACTGTAAGCGGCCTGATTGGTTTGATGACAACAATGTGACGATTGACGCATTGGTGTCAGAGAAGGATGCAGCATTTGCTGCACATGTGGCAGACCCCAGTGACTTGGGGAAGAAGAGTCAGTTTCGCGAACTTCGACGGCGACTGACCCGAGAGCTCCGTCGCATTAAAAATGCATGGTGGACGGAGAAGGCGAAGCAGATGGAATGCTACGCCGAACGCCGCCAACACAAGGAATTCTTTGACTCCTTGAAGGCGCTGCATGGACCGAGATTGGAGCCGCTGAGGACACTGATCGATGGTAGTTCAGGCGCTACCTGCACCCAGACTGCAGACATAATGCAGATCTGGCGGAAACACTTTGACTGTCTCTTGAACAACCGTTCAGCGATCGACTGGCCTAAACTGAACGGCCTGAAGCAGCACGATGTGAAGGCGGATCTGGCGGATACGCCGACACTGGATGAGACGCAGAGAGCACTTGCTCAGCTGCGAAACGGCAAATGTGCCGGAGGTGACGGGATCCCACCTGAAGTATTGAAACACGGTGGACCCGCGTTGTTGACTGCGCTGCACCACTTGGTGCAACGCGTGTGGATTGAGGAGAAGGTGCCTGCTGAGCTGAAGGATGCCCTTGTGCTACCACTGTACAAGGGCAAAGGTAGCAAGCAATGTTGCACGAATTATCGTGGCATCAACTTGCTGAGTTGTGTGGGCAAGGTGATTGCCCGAATCCTGCTCAACCGCCTCGTCAGTCAGGTTGTGGAACCTAACGTCGCGGAAGAGCAATGTGGATTCCGTTCGGGTCGCAGCACTATAGATATGGTGTTTGCGGCTCGTCAGTTGCAGGAGAAGTGCAGAGAACGACACCAGCCATTGTACTCGCTTTTTGTTGATTTCACCAAGGCATTTGATACGGTGAACCGCGAGGCATTGTGGCTGGTGTTGGGTAAGTTTGGTTGCCCGCGTAAGTTTGTAAGTTTAATTGAATGTCTGCACAGTGGTATGCGAGCGCGGGTGCAGCTGAGTGGAGAGACCTCGGATGACTTTGCAGTTGTCTCTGGTGTGAAGCAAGGCTGTGTCTTAGCTCCTGCCCTGTTTAATATCTATCTTCATGCAATGTTGTCTTGTGCTTTTGATGCGGCTTGTGCTTACGGTGTTCGTGTGGAGCACCGTATTGATGGTGGGTTGCTGAACATCCGTCGTTTCGGTGCGAGAACTCTAGTCTGTGAGACAACTATCCGTATGTTGCTGTTTGCTGACGACTGTGCGTTGTTTTCACACAGCGCGGATGAGTTGCAGCACATGACTAGTGCTCTGGCTTCGACAGCGTCCAAATTCGGGCTCACCATCAACACAAGCAAAACTGTCTGTCTCTTTCAGCCTTCACCGGAGGTGCAATCTTCAATATTGCCGCGAATCAGCATTGGTGCTGAAGTATTGGAAACCACCTCCCGCTTTTGCTACCTTGGGAGTGTGATGTCGACTGATCAGCGGCTACACGTTGAGTTGCGTATTCGCGTGTCGAAGGCGGCAGCGGCATTCGGGAAGCTTGAGTACCGAGTGTGGAACAACCATCAGCTTAGCATTGGCACGAAGCTGATGGTGTACAAATCCATGGTACTGTCCGTTCTTCTATACGGCAGTGAAACGTGGACGATGTACCGTCGGGATGTGCGATATCTCGAGCGGTTCCATCAGCAGTGTCTGCGACGAATTTTGCGGATCGGTTGGGGCGCCAGAGTTGCAGACACGGAAGTGTTGCGCCGAAGTGGGATGTATGCAGTGGACGGCATACGTTTATTGAGACACCTGAGATGGCTCGGTCATGTGAGCCGTATGGATTCGGCGCGGATACCGAAACAACTTTTATACGGTCAGCTGAGTATAGGGAAGCGGCACGTGGGGAAACCAAAGTTACGTTACCAGGACATGATTAAAGTGAGCCTCACACGTTCTAATCTTGATTGCAGATCATGGGAATCGAAGGCGGTTGATCGTGGTGCATGGCGCGATCTAATCACGAAGGCAGTTGCTGAAGTGCGGGAGAAAGCCCTCATGCATGCAGAGAAGAAGCGGCAAGTGCGGAAGCGGCAAGCACCGATGAATTGTACTCCATCGACATCGAGCGCATGGTGCTGTAGAACATGCGGTCGCGAGTGCCTTAGTCAGGCAGGCCTAGTGAGCCATGAGAGAGGTCACTCGGGACCACTGCCGAAGCGCCGACGGGTCCAGCAGTGAACGTAGGCAGCACCGGCGCAGCGTTTGTAGGCACGCTGAATTCGATTTACTAACCGCATGCTTGCATACTAAGTCTCTTTATTTCAGGTGGTGGGTTTGCGATTCTCTCCTAATGCCTTTCTTTCTCATATAAATGTCTAGTGGGCAAGGAGCTAGGTCCTTTGGGGCCACTACAGAAGCGACGACGGGTCCTGCAGAGAATTACGGCGAGCCGGCGCAGCGTTTGTAGGCACGCTGAT